ATAATAGAATCCGGGGCATAGAAAGGGAATGGATTGACTATTCTTGGGGGGGAAAGGGGTGAGGGAGATGCAGGAAGAGACTGGACAAAAATTGTGCACCTATGGATGAGGACAGTTGGTGGGGAGTGTGGGAGGCGGGAGGAGGGAACTGGGTGGAAGGGAGTTATGGGGGGGAAAAAGAGGAACAACTGTAATAATCTGAACAATAAAGATTTAATTAATCAAAAAAAAAGAATTTGAAGATTAATTTTAAAGTGTTTGACTTTATATATGTGTATATATATATATATATTAAAGTTGGGCTTTATCGCCATAACCAATATTTTGACCTAACCTACCTATCTTTGGCTGAGCTAATTAAAGAGCACAAATGTTATAATTAAAGCAGGGTTTTAAATAAATATAGCTTGATTATACTGTACAGTGAATTTGTTTTTCACAGTGAGAAAAAAAATATTCAGAAGCTAGCCTGGCACAGCTAAGGTTATTAGACATAAACAATCTCACAGAACATGAACCTCAGACAAGGCTACTCTGCAACCGTAATAAAATGAGGCAAAGCAAGGCCATTTCAGAATTTGTCTAAGCAGAGACAAACAAGGTCTCAAAAACCAACCCCCCAAATATCAATATTCCCTTTTTTGCTCAATGAGTGAATGCTACTTCTTTACCCAAGCAAACCACTGCTCTCTTAGATCTTTCCCCAAATCACTAAACTAAAGCCCAAATTTTGTTATAGGCTTTTTCAAACACACTTGCACTGAGAGGCTCTATGGTTGTCTATGGTATGTGTTCTCCTTTGGTACAAGTAATAAGCCCCAAATTATCCAACTACAGGTGTATTCCTGGGGATGTTTGATTGGAGAGCATAGGAAAACAACAACAAAAGAAATACAAACAAATTTAAGTCTAATAATACTATCCTATAAATCAATGCCTCTTTTGGGGGAAAATAACACAAAATGTTTAAGTACCCCCTTTTACTTAGAAAATAACTGCATAGTCAGCATGGTTTTCAACTTGAGAAAATGTCAAAAATCTAGCTAGCTACCTTTTCTTCGTTTTCTTGGTTAAGAGCCTAAATGTGTTTTAAACTAAGAATTCAAATTCTTCTATGGGACCTAATCATCTTTCTGTATAAAGTAGCCTTTTCTTTTTCTTTAAACATATTTTTATTGATTTCAGAGAGAAGGAGATAGAAACATTAATGATGAGAAATAATGATTGATCAGCTGCCTTCTGCACATCCCCCACCGGGGATAGAGCCCGCAGCCCAGACATGTGCCTTTGACCAGAATTGAACCCAGGATCCTTCAGTCTGTAGGCCAACGCTCTATCCACTGAGCCAAACCGGCTAGGTCAGTAGTTGGCAAACTGCGGTTCACGAGCCACATGCGCTCTTTGGCCCCTTGAGTGTGGCTCTTCCACAAAATACTGACTTCTGCGCATGGGCCACGAAGTTTCAATCGTACTGTACATGTGTGCCCGCACTGGCTAGGGCAAAGTAGCTTTTTCCATATGATGTTTGCTAGACCACAAACAGCACCATTTTAAAAATTAACATTATTCTACATTGACCACTAAGACAAAATTAGAAATATCTCATCTAGTGTTTGTAAAATTCAGTATCTTATATGATTTACTGGAAAATTGCATCAATTATCATTAAAAAGGCAGTATAAGTATAGACATACAGAACAAATTTCAGGAAGTTTAAAATGAATGAAATCTTCACATCCTAAACACATTTTCTAAAAATTGTCACTTTTACAGAAAGGGAATTCTTACTCACGCTTCATTAAGGGGTACAAAAATAAAGTCCTTTTCAAAAATATCTACATGCCGGGTCCATGTTTTTACTCTCCCATGCCGCTTTTGCTGTATTCTGTAAGACAAGACATAGACTATCAAGTTTCTGAAATGTTCCTAGTGCTTCAACTTATATACAACAATTTATAAATTACGAATATTAAGCTGTTAACAGAATAGTTGTAAAAGATGATTTAACAAGCTGGAGAAAGAAAACAAAATATCTGAGATAGAGCTAGAAACTGCCCATCACTGAATCTGGAAGAAAGAGATATTTAATTCCTGCTAATATATACTAGAGTAAATCAGTGCTATTATTGTTTATTACTGCAGAAATGGCACAAGCAATCAGATTGAGCAGCAAATCAGACCATGACCAATGAGAACAGCAAAAGAAGGAGCAAAAAAAAGTGAACATTATCTTACAGTAGATGAAGAAGAATACACTATGACCACTGGTCAAAATCAATCACTATCAACTCTAAGATGAAAATTAGGAATCACTGAACTAGTGGATACTATTTTGTGTTATCCACATCAGCCTTCAATTTAAGCATTTAACAGCAACTTGTGATAAAAAAAATAGCAACTCTTTATGTGTATATTTTGATCAATTACTAAGTAAGTATTAGAGCTGGATGCAATCATTAAAGGAGAATTATAAACAAAAGTACACAGGCCTATCAAGCCTAACATGTAGAATAGTATTTCCTTAACTTATCTGAGAAAAAACATCCAAAGAACTTACTAAAAGTACAAACTTGCCTTAGCCAGTTTTGCACACTGGATAGAGCACCGGCCTGTGGATTGAAGGGTACCGGGTTGGATTCCAATCACGGGCATGTACCTAGGTTGCAGACTCATTCCTGGCCAGGGCCCTGGTTAGGGCGAGTGTAGGAGGCAACCAAATGATGTGTTTCTCTCACATCAATATTTCTCTGTCCTTCCCTCTCTCTCCCACTCTCTTTAAAATAAATGGAAAAATATACTCAGGTGAGGATAAAAAAAAGCACAAATTCACAGGTTTCTTTCATAGATAGTATGGAACATCTAGGGTAAAATAAAGCAATCTATATTTGATAAGTATCCAAGTAATTTTTTTAAAATCACCAGGCATATTGGGAAAATACTGATTTAAATATTACACCTAAAACCTTTATGAATTCTACATATCCTTAAGGTTTTAGAATATTGTGGATATTGATCCACATTTTACATTAGATACAATCCAATATTATGATTTTGTTAGTAACAGATTATGTTGCATCAATACAAATAAGTGATTTCCTAAAAAATGTATTTTCATTGATATTAGAGGGAGAGGGGAAAAGAGAGAGAGAAATATTTATCAGCTGCCTCCTACAGAGGATTGAGCCAGCAACCCAGGCACGTGCCCTGACTGGGAATCAAACTGGTGACTTTTTGGTTCATGGGACCCTTTTGGTGCATGGGAGAACTCTCAACCAGCTACGCCACACTGACCAGAGCACAAAAAAGTGATTTTTTACTGAGTTAAATTTCAGTAACTTATTACATCTGTTCAACATTTTCAAAGAGCTTGACTTACGATAGATTAGGTGTTTCATGGAGATTTCTCCTTTCTCTCTGATTAAGGCGTTTGTAGAAAAAAGAACTGAATATATGAATTCGGTCAGCATCTTCTTTCTTCAGTTTTTCAAGCACCAAATATCTATTTTATAAAAAATAATTGCAATATAGTGAATATAGCAGTTTATCTCACACTAACAGGCAGGCAGTAATCGATTTAGCCACCATCAATTTCTATTCCTTACAACTGAAAGAAGCAGATTTGACTTCATATTGTAGATAATAACTACCAGATAATTCTCAAGTAATAAAAAGTATATTTGAGAGTAAAACTGTGATTTGAAAGATCTAATATTTTAAAACAAGGGCACATTCATAAACATTCATAACATTATTTATAATAGCCACAAAGTGGAAATGTCAGAAACGCTCATCAACTAATGAATGGAAAAATAAAATGTGATATATATCCATACAACAAAATATATTGAACAACAAAAAGAAATAAAGCACCGATACCTGCTGTAAAATAGAAGAACCTTGAAAACACCGTGCTAAGTGAAAGAAGCTAGTCATAAAGAAGCACATGTTTTATAACTCCATGTATATGATATGTTCAGGATATGCAAATCCACATAGATAGGGAAGAGCTAGTGGTTGCCTAATGCTGGAACTGGAGCTGGAGGAAAATGAGGAATCACTGCTAATGGTTATTGGGGCTCTTTGGGGGAATGAAAATATTGTAATACTGACAGTGATGATGATTGCACAAATATCTGAATATACTAAAACCACTGAATTGTACACCTTAAATGAGTGAATTGTATATTATGTCCATTATCCTATCTAATAAAGTGGGAATATGCTAATTGACTGCCACAGCCTCAAAGATGACGGCACCCACAACCACAAGATGGAGGCGTCCAGTCCCCTCAGCCTCACCAGGGCTGCAGGTGTGCAGCAAGGCTGGGCCCACCCCCAGGCAGGCCTGGCCACTCCGTGTACCTGCCTCCGGAGTCCTCCAGTCCCCTCAGCCCCCCAGCCGCCAAAGGCCAGCCTGAGGAGCAGGCAAGCTTTGGATGGCAGCTGCCCAGCCGCTGAAGGCTCAGGTAACCAGGGCCGGCCAAGGTTTGCGCTGCCGGGAGTGGCAGCAGCAGAGGTATGATGAGGTGTTGCTTTCTCCCGATTGCCGAGTTGCCTCCGACACCTGAGGGCTACTGGAGTTGTGAGAGGGGGAAGGCCAAGCTGAGGGACCCCCCTCCAGTGCATGAATTTTCATGCACCGGACCTCTAGTATCTTAATATACCTATTGTTTTTATGTGCTGTTTATCCTATATAATAAAGAGATAATATGCAAATTGACCATCACACCCTTGCACAAGATGGCCACACCCATGGGGTCACAAGATGGCCACGCCCATGTGGCCACAAGATGGCCGGCAAGGAAGGGCAGTTGGGGGCTATTGGGCTGGGAGGGGAGCAATTAGGCATCAATCAGGCTGTCAGGGAAGTGGTTCGGGGGTGATCAGGCTGGCAGGCAGAAGTGGTTAGGGGCAATCAGGCAGGTGAATGGTTAGGAGGCAGCAGTCCCTGATTGTGAGAGGGATGTCCGACTGCCAGTTTAGGGATCCCACAGGGATCGGGCCTAAACTGGCAGTCAGACATCTCCGAAGGGGTCCCAGATTGGAGAGTGCAGGCTGAGCTGCGGGACACCCCTCAGTGCCCGAATTTCGTGCACTGGGCCTCTAGTTTTAAATAATTCAGTTAATAAACCAAAAAGACAGAGCCATATATTACTTAAAACAAACAAACAAACAAAATAAAAACACGAAAAGAAATAGAAAAAACCTATTCAGTGTTAAGGTTGCAACAATGCAACTTTAAAGGGATCTTATATTGGTTCTAATTTTTCCTTGCCATAGTTGTTTTTCTTTAGGTCTACCTCAAAACAAATAGCAATGGTTCCTTGATATCACAAAGGAAAATTATGATATATTAAATTTGTTTGTTACAAATCCTCAAAGGAACTATTCAAAATCAAGCTAATGACTATACGCATTTTATTAAAATGAGGGTAATCTGAAAGCCTTATGAAATCTTACATAGAAACAGCAAATGTCCCCGAGGGCACACCTAAAGACATGTTCCTTAGCATAATATTATCATTCTGAAGCTCAAGTTCTGATGAAAAGGACCCAATTACAAAATTTCTTGCTTTAGAGCAAGTCCGTGTGCCCCCACAAAAGAAATTATAATACAGTGAGTCATCTCATGACAGTTTAAATCAATCACTGAATTTTACAATAATATATTCAAAACAGAGCATGCAGTAAACTAGATTTGAGTTTAGGGGCTATATCATAATTGGTGAACCATGCAGCTTTCACCAGCCCAAACTTCAGTGGCTGCTCTGTAAAAGTGAGCCAAATAAACAGAGGGATAATTCAACTTAAAAAAGAAAAGTTATTTGTGATTTAAGAAAACTGACTCTAGTCGAAACCGGTTTGGCTCAGTGGATAGAGCGTCGGCCTGCGGACTGAAAGGTCCCGGGTTCGATTCCGGTCAAGGGCATGTACCTGGGTTGCGGGCACGTCCCCAGTGGGAGATGTGCAGGAGGCAGCTGATCGATGTCTCTCTCTCTCACTGATGTTTCTAACTCTCTATCTCTCTCCCTTCCTCTCTGTAAAAAATCAATAAAATATATTAAAAAAAAGAAAAAAAAGAAAAAAAGAAAACTGACTCTAACTTCATATGTTAACAAATCCATGCCTTGTAAAGTGTTTTGTCTTTCTGATCTGGCATACATCCACTGGTATTTCTGTGGCTATATATAGCTTTTTTAGTGTACAATGTACATATGTCAGAACTATTAACTTTAATTAGAAAAGCCATGTCTCTTATAGAATTAAAGGGAAATTTTAAGTTCGTTATAAAAATCTTGTGGAAATTTCATCCATTTGGGTGCACTTTTTTTTCTTTCTGTATAAATCATTTAAATATTGAATGTCATGGTAAAGCTGTCCACTTAGTATTTCATAAAGTGAACATTCTAACAATCAAATCATGACTTAACTATAGGATGAAGTAAAAAGATTATTTTAAGGTTACTCTGCTAGTCTAGTAATATGTGACTTTGAAAGTAATTTTTATTTAAGTAATTCTTTTCTTCTCTGCATTTTATTAACATTCTTTAGATGCAATGACCTTTTAAATCCTATAATACTGACAAACTTTAAAAGTTTGTTTCTAACTTGTAGAGTTAGAAAATAATGAGCAAGCTTTGGTAACAGCCGAATAACTGATTTTAACAGTGAAGTTTTAAAAAAGTTTTCCTTTTAAAATTCACTTCTAAGTATGTCACAAGTGTGGCTCAGTGGTTGAGCATCAACCTATGAACCAGGAAGTCATGGTCTGATTCTGACTGTACATGCCAGGGGTGTGGGTTCGATCCCCAGTGGGAGGCGTGAACGAGGCAGTTGATCAATGACTCTCTCTTATCATTTATGTTTCTATCTCCCTCTCCTTTCTTCTATGAAATCAATAAAAATATATTATATATAAAAGAATGTTATAAGTATAGGGTGTCCCCCCAAAATGTATACATACACTTTGAATAATTATAAACGCCAGTGTTTATTAAAATACATTTCATTTTCAAAATTGAGCTATTAGCTCTTAAAGTGTATATACATTTTTTTGGACACCCTATATACAAATTTTAAAGTCATGGATTTTGTTAGAATTTTATTTGGAATACTGATTTACATTAGAAAAGATAGAACTTGTAGATAATCAAGTTTACTGTAAAAATTTTGTTTTAAAGTGTAAGTATAAAATGTCAAGGAGTCTCCTGAAAATATAAAGAATTTCAACAGTATAAAGAAATTATTATAAAATGTCTATTGTAATGTAAATTATATATTATTTATGTATGAAATAGAATAAACTAAAATATAAATAAAATATTAGGAGTTCAATTTAGTTTTTAGATCCACCAATATGCTTTCAAAAACAGAAACATTTTAAATAAAAAGACTTAAGAAGGTTAAAAGTAAAGTGGTAAAGAAATATATTAGCATGTAAACAGAACCATGTAAACATAATCCGAAAGAAAGCTGGAATAGCTATATTCATTTTGAACAAAGTGGACTTAAGAACAAGAAAGATTATCAAGGATAAAGAGAGACATTACATAATAAAGGGATCAATCTCTGAGAAGGCATAAACATGTATGTGCCTAACAACAGAGCTTCAAAATACATAAGGCAAAAACCGATAGATCTAAAAGGAGGAACTAACAAATTCATAATTAAAACTGGAAATCAACAACCTTCTCAATAATTGACAGAATAGGTATGTAGAAAATCAGTTAAGGACAAAGATAAGTCTAATGTCAAACAACTTGACCTAAATGACATTCACAGAACACTTCATCCAACAATAGCAGTGTTGTTCTATATATTCATTTAAGACTTTTCAATAGTTTTGTTTGTTAAGTATATAGTAGGATTAAGAGGTAAGCGAAATAGTCCAGTCAGAGAAAGATAAATATTACATGATCTCACTCATTTATGGAACATAATGAACATCATAAACTGATGAACAAAAACAGATCCAGAGATAGAGAAGCATCGATCTGACTGCCAAACCTCAGGGGAAGGTAGGGGAAGATGGGGTAAGGGAGAGAGATCAACCAAAGGACTTGTATGCATGCATTTAAGCCTAACCAATGGACACAGACAACAGGGCGGTGAGGGCATGAGTGGGTGATTGGGGCAATGGAAGGATAAGGACACATATGTAATACCTTAATCAATAAAGAAAAAAGAAAATAAAAAAAGAGATAACTTTTTTTAATTATGGAAAAATACGTAAAATTTGCAATCTTAACCATTTAAGTGTACAGTTCAGTGGTGTTATGTATATTCCCATTGTTGTGAAACAGATCTTTTTAAACTTGCAAACTGAAACTCTGTATCTATTAAATGACAATTCCTTGCTCCAGGTAACCACCATTTTTCCTTTCATTTTCTATGAATTTGACTACAAATTATCTACATGGAACTATATAGTACTTGTCTTTTTGTAGCTGGCTTATTTCACTTTCCATACTATCTTTCAGATTCACCCAGGTTGTAGCATGTGACAGGTTTCCTCCACCTGTTGTTTTTTTTTTAACCCTCACCTGGGGAATTGCATTTTTTGT